ATTTTGAAATAAATTTTCTTTCATGCATTTTTCGCTGGACATAAAGTTAGCCTTTTCTGCCAGATTTTTTAACTGGTCGAAAATTCTTTGTGTAACTCTAAAGTTACGGTTTTATTACTTCTGATGATGCTTCCAACAGTTTTCAACGCATTCTTACCGCTCTGCACTTTGGAAAATGACAGGTATATAAAAGACTTCAAATACTTAAGTGTAACTTGGAGGGGAAATTAAACTGCTAATTTTTTTCTGCTAACTTACTAATTGTTTCCTAACTAACTAAGATAATGTTTTGTACATCATTTTTCCTGTAATACAGTCAAGCTTTCTTGTGGATCATAACAAAAAGTACTGATGAACGATTGGTTTAACAGTTGCGCAGATGACTAAAACAGTTAAGTTAATCCGTATTCTCACTTCTAAATTGAAACAAACAGCACTACTAATGCAGCGTTTGTACAGCAACGCAACTAATGATTCCGAACCTGCCCATTTTCAGCCAATTTTTTTTGCTATTTTTGGACCCATTTCTTTCTTTTTTTTCCCACCATTTTCTTGGACACTTTTTTTTGTCAAATACAGTCTCAGCGACGGAACGTTCAAATGCTGCAAACTTCGACAGAGGTTGCAACCGCAGGCCAAATTTTTTCATCGCAAGCAGCAGCCTCAAAGAGTATTTTTTACACAAAAATTATATTTTCTGCAGTTTATCTCCTTATTTTGTAAAACTTTATTCCTCATTAGGAATCGGTAAACTGCCGGACAGTTCGTTTTTTTGCAGCAGATTCCACATATAAAAAGTCAAAAAGTTCTTATTTTTGTTCGGAAGTGCCTGCCTTATTTCAACTTACCCTCGCTGGCTAGTTTTAAGCCACATCTCAAAGGTTTCTTCCAGTTTTCTTTTACATTTTTTTGGGCATTTCGTTCATGCTTTTGGTTTTTAGGGGAATTACCCAACAGAGCTAGCTATTTCAAGTGAAACCGGAATCAGCGTTTTATTGCTTCCAACTAATTATTGTAGTATGCAGCTCATAACAAAAGTTGACTGTTCTTTTGCCTTCAAAATGTCACCTCTCATACACTTTTCAGAACGCTCTGCTTATCTCGAGAAGGTGGACCGTCAGTTTGATAACGAGGCGAGATGAGCTTTGAGGATTGAAAAAAAGTTGATAATTAGATATTTTTTTAAAGACTGGTGCTGCAGTTTAAGTTTCTGTAGTACTTTAGAGAAAAGGTTTAAAATCCTCTGCGCAAAGGACTGTAAAAGACAAAAAACCAGGAAAGTCATCGTTCGTTTGTATCATACAAACTCTTACTTACAACTGAAGCAAAATTTAAAAATAAAATCGAGAAACGGTAAAATATGAAAAGTAATCGGCAACAACGTCCAAATGAGCAAGATACTCAAAGGCAACCATCCACTTTGTAAAATAAATTAGTAAACCAAGAATGAGATAATGGCATGTTGTAGATGAAATGGAAAACCTTGAAAAAATTTCTCTCTTGAATTCACAATTTCAAGCTGGAAACGGAAACCATTGCTAACTCTTCACCATGAATGACCTAATTTGAAAACTGATAACAGTGGCACAACTCATCAAATAGTCATTTAAATATTTGTTGAAGCAAACTACGTAGAAGTTACTACAAATTTTATTTCAAAGCTCTGCAAAACAACCCATCACCGGCAAGATTCATGTAAAGCTTGTGGGTTTGGTGAACGAACTATGTCGAATATTGTTGGGGAGAGACAATTCTTCATAGTGCGGCTGCAATTAAAAACAAGATAAAAATTGAAAGTTTTTTTTATGTAAACGATTCTCCTTTCACAATCGAAACTGTCAAATCAAAGATAGCTGTAAACCAAAAGTGAAGAACTAACTTGCAAACTTTGCACTTGAGATTAATTGTTTCGTGAAACTTTGACAACAGAGTCAAAACATAAGAAAGAGTTCTGGACGTCAGTAGTTGGTTATCCATAATATTATGAATTGTTTGCATTAGATGAATATGTGCTTGTACTGTAAGTTTCTGATAAACTACGTAACGACTTTCTTTAAGGATATCCACCTGAAGTAAGAAAACAAACAGTTCATCATGAAAACTATATTTTAATGTAAACTGCTCATACCAGGGCAAAAGAACTACTAGGATTTCAAGTTTTTCTAATGCAACACTTAAATTACATAGAAAAAGTAAGGTAAAGTAGAAAATGATGTCGTTTTATAACGCCGGGCGTATTAGTTAAAAAAATTCAAACCAGTTTATGACCCTACCGTTTTTCGTCCTTCATCAAGGTACGTCCAGTCTTCATGTGGTGCAATAATCAATAAAGATTCAACGGTACCGTTATTTACAACAATTAACATTTTCTGATGACAAGCAAAAATTTTTTCGGCGTAACGGCCATACTTCAACTATAAAATACCCATTTTACCATTTGTTCATCCTTTGAACGTTTTTTATAAAAGAGATGATAAGGACTCCTGTGTAAAAACAAGTACCTACGGGAATCTCTTTAAAAAAAAAACTAAGACAACCTCAATAACAGCATTTAAAGTGCTTTTCTCCAAATATCGATAATTAAGGACAAATTTTTTGTTCGAAAATTCTGCTACTGCCTGTGGAAACACTTGATCGAAAAGCTGCTGCAGAGGCTTTCCTGACATGTTACTGGTGTACGTCAACGGCCGCTCAACAATTAATGAACGCCGCTGAGAGCTAACAGAACGACGGAACATGGTGACGTAATAATGAACAAATTGCTTAAACATGTCTTTAAATTATTCCAAGAAGAAAGAATTAACCGTAAAGTTTTTCCGCCGAAAAATACTTACGCTTCCTCTAATTACTGTCAGTAAATAAACTATATTAATAAGCGGAAAGAATTTTAGAAGTGTCACTTAAAGTTTACTGTGCTCGTTTCAAGCCAAGTTGAAGCCTCTAATGCTCCTTCGTAAAGATCTTTGACATTTCGATCCAGATGAGCTTCATTCAAGAAACGGGATAAGCGCTCCAGCTGTGGGAAAGACACAGACGTAGATGGCAGGCTCTTAGCATGGTTTTCCAAATTTCTGCAACAACATAGTTATGGTCCGTTCACAATTAACAAACGCAATTTAAAACAGCCTAACAAAAAAAAAAGCATAATCGGATGTAACTTACTCATACAGTCTATTTGCGTGAGCAAACCGCTCCATCAAACCTTTCCAGTAACCTTCAGAAATCTCTACTTCACCGCTAATAGCAGCATTGATTTTACTATGACCACGTACAATAGCATCTCTCAACACCCTGATTTCACTTAGCGCTTAAAAAAATTTATTTTCTTCTCAGTTACAATAAATTTTAAAGCAACTTTTAAGTTTCTCCTTAAATCCATAGCAAGTTACCATTAAATGTCATACATTAAACTTCTAGTGATTCAAGAAAGTTTTACGATCCAAGAAAAAAAAAAAA